CTGAATGATTGAAAAAATTATTTTTTTAAAAAAGATAGTACAGAACAGAGAAACAGAACAAAATAAAACAAAGGCAGCTGTGAACACCCTTTTCCCTAGAATGTAGCTGTTTACTTTATACCTCCAAATAATTTTTCTAGGGATGAGTGGGTGAAGGAATGGAAAACAGAACGAGAATTAACAATCCCCTACCCTTCCTAAAGAAAGGGTACAGTCCAGGTAAATTCGGCTCTGCTCAGCTGTTTAGGCATCTTTATACATCACTTGAGGAAACAGCATCTAAATTTTTTTTTTAAAAAATCACAAACATGCTATGCAGAGAAAATTTGGAAAGAATGAACCTCTGCTTCTGTTGCCAGAGCCTAAATATTCTCTAAATCTAACTTCAGAAGGTGGATCCAAGACTTTTTTGTTCTAGTTTTAAAGTAACAAAAGCCTAAGTATAAAAGTGGAATACATTTCCTTTCAGAAATAGGAGGAGGAGAACAAAAATACACTGAGAGTGTGATTGCGATCCTTACAGAATCTTAATATGGTGGCCACATTAAACAAAAGTATAAAATGTATTTTAACACACTCGCTTTTACTGAACAATTCACATGCACCTGAATCAGCCTAAATCTCTTCAGGAACTGAGGACTATAGAGCTTCATTTGCTTTTCAAGTCATATTTTCCCATATGGACTCTACTGATGTTCAGTGAGTTTAAACGAACTTTCATCCAAAACTAAGCTGATCAAAATGGTACTATTCCTGTATGTGTTTTCCTCTGTAGGAGAAAAGCATGGCAGTTACTTATAAAATACTGTTAGCAGCACCATGAAAAAGAAGTTGATGTACTATGTCATTGCTATATATTGAAATTTGTTCCAGTAGTTTTTTAGTTTTTCAGATATATGCTACAGATGCTGTAGTAAGCTTATTGTGACTGATGGCTTTTCTAGATCTTTGAGAATCATCTGAGGGGTTGGGAATGAGGAGAATAATAAGAAAACGATTGCCATATACTACATTATAAGATGATGTAATAGAAGAGAGCATGAGTCTGAGATCAGGCCCTCAGACCCTGGTCCCAGCCATGCCTCTCATTCCCTCAATAGGATGTCACCTGTGCTTAGGGCCTGGATGATTTCATCTGCAAAATCAGAGAGTAATTGTAGGTGGCCACTGAGATTCTTTCTATTAATAATTCTAAAATTCTAATTTCTCTCCTCTTAATGACTGATTAAAACAAAGGTCCAGATCTTTCACATTTTCTTTGAAGAATTAAAATTCTGTGAAAAATTCCAACTCCTGCCTAATCAAAAGAGTATTTAAAAAGAGCTTAGAAGGCTACAACTTCCTTCTGAGGGATTCAAATATTGAGAAATGACCAAAGTCTAATGTCAGCCAAAAAGATTTTATCTATTAGAAAACTGGTATAGTGCCTTAGACAAACTATAATTAGCATTTGTGAGTATAGAGAAAGAATGACGTTTAAAGGAGAAAAAAAAAACTATATTAAAGGAAATTGGCGTATTTACTTTTTTAAAATCTTAGTTCTAGACTGAGAAGTAATTCAACCACATTTTTAAAATATGATCTATACAGAATCCTTAATTCTGCTGTAACATGAATTATACATTTTAATGGTAAAAAGAGATATTCTCATGTGTCTCCTCTCAAATCTATTAAAGTGTTATACTGGTGCACTGGAGCAGTGCCAATGAATTCAGTACGCAGTGAATTGAAACTGAAATCACACAAACCCTTGGGTCCTTCATCCTTGGGTGGGTGAGGGTTCCTAACTGGATCCCGGATACTGCAATCTGTCCCTGCCCAGGTGAAATCACAGATGCAGGTGGCTTCATTACTACACACCTGTGAAGAAAAAAGAACAGCGATGGGGCATTTTCACTGTGCTTTGCAGGATGATGACAATACATGTAGAAGAGACACAGGGACAGGGAGGAAGCTTTAAAAACGTTTTAAATTTTTTTTTAAAGTTTTCCACTGTTTTGAGCACTAGACAAGGGGAAATAATACATAGATCAAATTGTTGAATGATATCTTTCCATTAATTGCAGAAAAAAAAGAAGAAAATTCTTAAATATGAATTATTCATGTGGATGTTATTTAAGTACACAAATGTCTAACAAGGTAGTTTTTTTCAGAAGTAGCTGTTTCTAGAAAAATACTTTAAAAACATACATGATTAATTCCATAAATATTGGGCTCAAGAGGCACTGCCAGAGATAAAAGACCAGGAATATAAATCACCAACGGACCGCATTCCCTCACTGTGTCCAGCACCAAACTCATTTCTTGGTGCTTCCCCTACCAAACAAGCATCCCTCTCGCCTTCCCTCCCAATCCGTGGTTCCTTCTTTTCTCAGTCAGCCAGGCTGAAAAGCCCAGAGGGATCTCGTGTCTCCTCTCTCTTCCTCTGGGCATCACACAGCATGCCGGAATTGACTTGAACTTTAGATGAAAAGATGAAAAAAAAGAAAAGAAAAAACACCTGAGCCTTTATCTCCCTGTGAAATACATTCAGAGATAGATTTTTAGGGATGATAAAATCAAACTTAGAAGCTTTTTACTCTTTAACGTTATAATGCCAGGACTATGATTAACAAGGCTGAATTTGGCCTTTTTTTCCAACGGATGAAAAAGTGGGAGTGGTAGTGGGAAAGAAGTCAGGGCCCTTTTATGCATTAAGTATTATATTTTCAGAGCAATAACTGAAATAACTGAAAAGGCCGCCCAGGGATTTTACTTTAATGCAGCAATTACTGATTACTTGCTGTGTGCCAGGTACCTGCATAAAGTGCTTTATGCAAAGCATCTCACGTAATCCTCACACGAGCACCCTGATGGCTGAGAGAGGTTAAGTGACTTGCCCAAAGTTACTGGGATGGCAAGAAGCAGAGCCAAGACACAAAGCCAGGATTCTTTCTCACCCCCAAACCCATGCTCTCAATCATTAAGCTATACTGGCTCCTGGGAGCCTATGATTCAACCAAAACCAAAACTCTAGATTATCGCTGGGCACAAGCTTCTGGGCCTTCCACCCTGTCCTACTCCAAGTCATCTGCCTATATGTCTATGTTGGATTATTTTTACCTTCATTCTAGCATCTCCCTTTTATATTAATGCTCTTTTCTTTGCATATCTTTTTTCCACTTCTGAATTGTATATAAATTTTGAAAGACTTTCTTTTTGCCAAGCCCAATTTAAATAATTATTAAAATTTGTTTTCGGATAGGAAGTCTAGGTTTGCAGTAAGGGCAACTTGCCCAAACCCTCTGTTGACAGAATTACAGATATGTGCAAGTATGAAGAGGGATAGCATCTTCTCATTGGCTGACAATGGTCCAGGCACAACTGTACAACTCTAAACATGTGAATTATATCAGTGATCCAACCTCAGTCTAGTGCAATCCTGTACACACACATACTCAGTATGAATACTGAGAAGCTGAAAGTGAATGACTGAGATGGTTTAGGTTGCTTTGAATTGTACAAAATAGCCACATGGGGTCTACCGTTCCTTTAGGAATCTTATCGATTTTCTTCTAATGCTTTAGATGTTGTGATAGTTCATTTTATGTGTCAACTTGACTGCGCCCAGATTAAACATTATTTCTGGGTGTGTGTGTGAAGGTGTTTCCAGACAAGATTGGCATTTGAATTAGTGGACTCCATAAAGTAGACTCCCCTCCTCAATGTGTGTATGTATCATCCAACCCATTGAGGGCCTGAATAAAACAAAAAGAAAGGAGGAATTTGCCCCCTTTTTTTCTGCCTCATTGCTTGAGCTGGGACACTTCATTTCATCTTATCCAGCCCTAGGACTAAGATTTACATCATCAACTCTGCCAGTTCTCAAGACTTTGGACTCAGACTGAATTACACCATTGGCTTTCCTCAGTCTCCATCCTGTTGACAGCAGATTGTAGGACTTAAGCTCCATAATCACATGGGCCAATTCCTCATCATAGATCTACTTTTACATACATACATATAGATAGATAGATAGATAGACAGACAGACAGACAGATAGATAGATCTCCAATTGGATCTATTCTCTGGAGAACCTTGACTAACACAGATGTCAAGTTTTATCTGGAAAATATAGCGAATACAAATGGCCAGTAATAAAAGAAATAACAAAAATGAAACCATATTAACACATGGTTTATTCTTAGCAGATAAAGGTATAAAGAAAATACTCATAACCAGTGTTAACAACAGCCATAAGAGGAGAATGGCTGAACTGGAAGTCTAACCACTGTGAACTCTGAGGATGCCAGACAACAAACGTTCAAGCTAGAACAGTGATACCTACTTACCCCGTGGCCTGAACAGACTTTACCCTTGGAATCGAGTGGGCAGCTGCTCATGTTTAGGGCTTGAATCTGTAGGCACTTCCGATCTAAACACATCATGGATGGGCCACATGGCGTTCCATCTTCTACATAGCCCACATCTGTATCATCATCTAAAACTACATGAGCACCACTAAAAGGAGAAAAATATCCATACAACCATTAGCACCACACTTAGAAATATAATGTCAACACGAACGAGGCTTCCTCTTCATTAAACTGAAGAGATTGTCAGCGGACATGGGTTTCTCCTAGCATTTTCCCATTCTTCTCTTCCTCTTCCCCCTTCCCCACCTCCCTTTAATGAAAGAGCATGAAAAAGAAACTATCTTTCATTTTCATTATTACACTGCACATCATCATGAAAAAATGTCATTTGCATGAAATGTATTCTAAATCTTCACTTGTTTTCAAGCCCAACATTAAGAATAGGGGAGGAGGTGTTTGCATGAGAAAACAGAAGCAAATATTTCATTAGCTCTCCAAGGCTTTCAGATGTGGCACGGTAGAAAAAAGCAAATATTGGGCAAACAACAAATGAAAATTATTATTATTGTTTCAGAGGATTTGATTATCGATAATTGAAAAAAATAAATACACCAGTTCTTTTCTATTGACATTTACAGTCATGCCTCACTTAATGACTGGTTAAGTTCTAAGAAATTTCATAGTTGTATGAACATCATAGTGTTTACTTACATAAACCCAGATAATGTAGCCTACGACACACTATAGCCTATTGCTCCTAGGCTACAAACCTGTATGGCATGTGACTGTACTGAATATTGTAGGCAACTGTAACGCAATGGTAAGTATTTGTGTATCTAAACATACAAACGGTACAGTAAAAAATATAGCATTATAATCTTATGAGACCACTGTCCTATGTGCAGTCCTGATCATTGACTGGAACATCTTCTCATGCACTTTGATGCATGACTTATACTTCTAAAATTTCAAAGTTAGAAATAACTTGAACTTGAATGATAATCAATGCTATAATTACTAATAGAATACCTTGCTGGATATTTTACAAATATGCTAGTTTAGCATACAATATAATTTAACAAGTCTATTGTATCTAAAGACATGTAAAAACATACACATTCAAAGAAAGCTTGTGTACATCAAAGTAATTAGCTTGGAAGACTACAAGTTTATTCCGAGAAGGATCCTATAGTCTAAAACCCTGTAAGAATTGCCTTCAGAGTCATTTAAAAGACAGAAAAGCAGCAACCATCTGACCAAGACAGCACGCTATCCAATTTGGTACCCAATCAATTTACTAAAATTTGTTCAAAATTACTTTTGGATAATTCTCTCACATAAAGTGGAGATTTGGTATTCTAAGGATACTAAAAATAAAAGTTTGCAGATGCCAAAGGCAATTCTGTAGGGGGAATCCCAAAGTGTTTTGGGCAGCACCCATATCAGTGAGTAGAGAACAGTACCTGAGAATTATGACTACTTTGAAAGGAACAATCCTAATTTGGAATATAATATGACTCCCTGGCTAAAAACAACAAGCATAATACCTACCTGCATGGCACTCACAGACAGGTGGATATCAAATGTTTGCTTACAGCTATAAATAATATTTTAAAAATATTTTCTATGTGTGATTGGGTATTTGTTAAGCCATCTTCTAAACCAGACACATGCTACATAAAGTATAGTTTAAACTCTTTTCTTGAGGGGGTGGGGAGGTCATAAAATAAAACATAGTGTTCAAAGCATGTGATATTCCAGTGCACAAAAACTTTAACTACAGGTTAAAATAAATACTGTAATTCTACTCTAAAGATTATGATTACAAAGAATGTCTCATTACTAATAACTAGTCAAATTTTGAGTAAATGTAATTTTCAAATCAATATACAACTATGTTTGTTAATTGACTCTCAACATGAAAGGTGATAATAAAAATCTAAGACAACTTTCTTCTTGTCAGAACTAAAAAAATCATTGATTTTTGGTTTTTTCAAAATTTGATTTTTTGAAATTTGTAATTCTCGTGCTTTATTAGGTTTTCCAACATTTAATATGTTACCTGCAGTCGATCACCCGGCCTTGATGGTAGAAAGAGGTTGGGATGATCTCACCCTGAAGTTGACCAATACGTGGTGCTCGAGTAAGATTGGTACAGAGTAAAAATCCACAGAACACATCACTGAACATGTGAAAGAAAGAAAAAAGACAATCAAGTTAAAAAAATCACAACGATTCAGTCCTAATATATTCAAAATTTTTAAATATCTCTTTTATTCTAAACAAAATCACTTGTTTAGATACCCTTGGTTGGCTATAATCCCCTCTTTCTTTACTAAGAAGATCATAGTTTTGTTCGGAGCAGCAAAGTGTCAACCATGAAAGATGGATCATAACTAGTATCTAAGCTGGTCATGGCACTCCCATTCCCTATACCCGCTTTCCTATCCATCCCCCCTCCCTACCTTCCTATAGTTAAAAGTGGCCCCCAGGCTGTAAAGATATAAGGAAAAGCCAGCTAGGGAATGCTGGGGGGATTTTGCTTTCTGGATAAAGGATGAGAGATTGACAGAAGGCAGACCTTTTGCTCCTATTCCTACTTCCCACCTTTGATTGCGTAGCTTTTATATATACCTCACAATCCTGAGTTCGCAAGCATAAGGACAGAACCCCAACATGCTAAGGATTACAGAGCAGAGGGGTAGGAATCATCTGGGGCCTGGGTGACACTGTTAAATGACTCACCCACCAGGGGGGCATCGACCTCCAATCTATCTGTTAAGTAAACAATGACTCCTAAAAAATGTGTGAGGCACATCACAAAAAAGGAAATTCATGTCCAATAAATGTATGAAAATGTGCTAAATTCCATTTGTAATTTGGGGAAATACAAATTAAAATCATGATCCTTTACAATAATTCAATGCCTCCCAAATGTTTTGAAAGCACAGAGACCCAGAGGAATGATCGGATTTGTCTACGGTATGGAGTAAATGCATGAAGCTAATCAAATTCAGACATGTCCAAGCCCATGGAGTTTGACTACTTCAGGTCCCCTTTTTTCCTTCTCCCTGGCACCTTAAGGATGGAGGATCAACATCTCAGAACATCTGTACCTCACTCATGAGACAGCACATGGGAAGATCTGTTTTCTATTATTTTGGTTGAACGTTAAAGAGATTATAGTCAAAGATGTGTTGCCTGCTAACACATCATCCACTATCAAAGACTTGGAATGGCCAAGTTTCATAAAGTACAACACAGAGATCACTGAACAAAGAAATAAACCTGTCCTTAAATTCCTGCTCTGCTTCAACACTGGGAGAAGAATCTCCACTGCTATGAAAGGAAAATGGAAGAGCTTTGGCCTATAGCTTAATGATTCATAGACCCAAATCACTGACTTAACCTTTATAACCTATTAAATCAGAATTCTAACTTTCCTCAACTAATCAAAGGGAAATATCATCAACATGCTCTGAAAGTATCTCATTTCCTGAGGAAAGATACCTCCGATATCCACTAACTAGATTCTCTCTTTTTTTTTTATTTCAGCACATTATGGGGGTATAGATGTTTAGGTTACGTATGTTGCCCTTGCCCCCACCCCCAAGTCCGAGCTTCAAGCATGTAGATTCTTTTTAGAAGGGGAAAAAAAATCTCTGGTATAGATACTATAAATCTGATTAAATCAAATGGTGTTGCACTTGTGAAATGATCAAAAATGTATTATTATTTCACTTTGAATGGTCCCCAAAATATATACATTCCATATATTTTGCCTCTTAAACTCTGTGTATACTACTATATTCATAGGCCATATGTTCTAGCAAAAGTAGAAAATTAAAAGCTAACACTAATTTGCAATACTTTGGCAAAGTATCTTTTCAGAACAAGAATCAAGTGAAATACAGCATGTGAGAAATGTTCCGAATTTTACGGAAAGGGCATGAGTCTGTTGCACAGCAACAGCTTAATCCATAGCCATTTGCCTCCAGGTATACTAATATATTTTTAAAATATATTCTTTAAATTTTTGAATAATTGAACATTTATGAAAAGTCAGTAACATTTATTTCGTGCTCATTTTGCATTTGCACAGGGCTTCCGCGTCCAGCCGTGACGTGCCCAGAGCCGGCCACTCACTGTTTGCTGCACTGGATCCACCGGTCTCCGTCCTTCCCGCAGTTTCCCTTCTCGGTGCCTTCTGTATTCAGCTTTTCATAGCAGAACTTGTCAGACCCTGCAGCCTCTTTTGAAGATGGACAAGAGAAGAAAATTAATTTTACTTCTCTTTGTTATCCGTGACCCGTAGTGTGCCAGTAAATGTTTAACAAGTAGTTCTCCAGGAAAAGAAAAAAAAATCCTGATTTGAAGCATTTGCTAGTGTCCCTGGGGTAAATATTCCACGGCTAATTTCAAGCTATCACTGTGATGTTCACTGGCTTGTAAAATTCCTAAAAATGTTAACAATTGGCTCTTTATGCTAACACAAACAAAGCTCCAACACAACACTGTTTTTAACCTGAGAAACAAAGTTCTTTCCGATTCTCGTTGGTGGGTTTGAGGCTGGGAGGTGGGTATAATTCCCAGCAGGAATGAGTGAAGCGACACACAGAAAATGAGTAAACATTCTTAATCCTGTTTTATATTAATTTTAGGAGATTAATTATAAAGTTGTAAACCATTGAGATTTTATATTGGCACCTGGGTTTTGATATTTAAACCTTTTAAAAAATAAATATGTCTCTTGTATCTTTCCTCTGTCAAAAGTGAAGGGACTGAGTATAAATCTTTTAGATAAATGATATTTGCCAAACTCTGAAATCACTCATGCCAGGGGCCCTGTTCTCCTTTTGTGTGCTTTCTTTCCTTTGGGGTAGCCTGGCCTCAGCCAGCAAGGCTAGTAAAATTCCAAGAACTTCTTGTTCTTCCAGTCTGGCCCTCAAGAACTGAAGTTCCCTGGAGAGGCGCTATACGTGTCAGGAAGAGAACAGGTATATTAACGTTTAGGGAATGTACTGAGAACCACAACCATACTGCACCTTAGGAAGTATCTGTATTTCTTCACTTTGAACTGAGATAGCAAGTGATAGAATTTAAAAAATAATTCTGGTACTTTCCTGGGGTAAAAAACAGAAAGCTAACTAGTATGTGTTAGGGGGGAGGGGTGGGGGCCTTAAACCCAGGGTACAGAGTAAACGACACGAGTGGCTGGATAATGAATATGACCACGGCACTCAACCCAATTGTCGCAAGCGAGTACAGCATCCGTTCTCTGAGAGCCGCAGCCATTGGAGGACATTGTTCGGTTCTGATGGCAAATCCCCTAGTGAGGCAGTTGTTTTCTATAGCTTTTGTGGCTCAGATTCACAGTTCTTTCATCCTTTTTAGTTTTTGTTTTTTTTTTTAGCATCACTCCAAGCCGTGCATCTCTTTCAGCAAAACCGGCAGAGAAGAACAATATTAAGAGAAAACTGCATGTGCGACCATGAAGCAGGAAGATGCAACCTACTTGTTCCCCAGATGTACTGACACTGGTTGTCCCTGGTCTTACACTCGCCGTTGTAGCAGCGACCCTGGAGACAGGAGCACACATGTAAGGCGCATGGAGTCAGTTCGTTTTCCCCGTAATGTTTTACTACACGATCTCCTCCTAGTTGACTTAGCTAAGGTTTTTTCTTTCCATATCCTAGTATTTCCATAGCAACCAATACGAATCACAAACATCTTAAAAGAAGCATAACAGGCAGTTAAAAATTTAAAACTCAGAACAGAGCTCATTGTACAACACTGAAAATCCAAACTAATCATCTAAAATTTAAAATGTTATGGAAAACAAAAATTGGTATATTTCTTGGGGTGATATCAAAATGATTTTTAGCTTCTTTTGTGTGTAAATTATTAGGTTATAATGTAGCTTCATTAAAAAAAACATAAGAAATTCTCATATTTCCCCATAATAGACAGGCTGAAATTATTGAAAGATGGTCACAACTCAATAAATTAGATTCCTAATTCTTCAGCCAATATATTTTTTTTCTTTTCTCTCAATTTGGATCAGGGTTAAATATAATACATTTAACATTCGGGACACATAAAGCAACTCTGACTTAGAACCCCACTGTAATGATTTACTTGAATAAATTTCCCTTCAAATTTACATTTATTAAAAAGGAAAAAAAATCTTTCTAACTAATCCTTTTAAAATTACCATTTAAAATTTATAGCCCAGCATACCTGATTTTGATTGCATGCATATCCATCTTGTTTATGAAGATTTGGTGGGCACTGAAAAAATATTATCTTTTTAGTCAATGTTCAGCATGCTAAGTACCTTCAGATAATGTATACAATAAATAAAAATGCAAAAAAATGCAAGCATGGTGAATACAAAATTTAGGAACATTTAGAAAAACACATGTAACTCCTTAAGTAGGTTATCCAAATTAATTCTCCTATTATTGGTAAAAATAAATTAGGTTTGTACAGTAGATGCTTTTTATGTATTTCTCTGTTTATTTGAGGTAGACTAGAATAACAAATTACATTCACTTACCTACGGAGTTAAAAGTAGAACGTATTAAAATGGACAATGAAGGAAATGAATCAGCTTGTTACACAGGAGCGAACACATTTAAGAACTAATTAACAAGACCTTGCTCAGCTCTGTGAAAATGTCAAATTTGCTTTGACGTCATGACACTCACCTATAGGTTATTTTACTGAAACTGAAGAAACCTTGCCTTTCCACTTGATGTAATTGCTGTCTCTCTATTATATTTCTGATCTCTCAAACCGTAGACTTGTTACTAGAACAATCTGTGCTGTGGTGTTTATTTCTTTTTACAGGTCTATTTATCAAATAATTTTATAAAAGGATACTTCATTTTCCCCAAAAGTTACCCTGTATAAGTTAAAATTTTGACTCTCTGTGCATTTTATTTACCACATTTAAGAGAGCTTAAAAAAAAGGGAAAAAAAAGTCAGGTCCAAGGCTCTGCTACAGTGTTCGAAGCAAATATGAAAAGAAAAAAATACACAGGCACGGCAAGTGAATAAGAAACAGATCAATATGAACAAGGTCTTCACCGTCTCAGTAAATAACAACCCATCCTTCCAATCGTTCAGGCCAAAACCCACAGTCATCCTCTTTCCCTCTCTTTCTCACACACTCTCCCTCCATCCAGTCTGTCAATAAATCCTCCTACCTGAGTCCCCTGCCTCCACCCTAGTCACCTTAGAGTCAATATTGCTACCAGAGTGATCGCTTTAAAAATGTAAACATCAGATCACATTGATCCTCTGTTCAAAATGCTCAAATGGCTTCCCAGTTTACTCGCTGACCTTCAAAGTCCCACGTGATCTGCTCTTACCCATCCTTTGTCATCATCTCCCTGACCTCAATTTCTACTTGCCCATGGAGAGGTGACTTCACGTGGATGTGCAAGGCATGCTGCCACCCACAGCCTTGGCCTTTGCTGTTCCTTCCTTCCTCCCTACAGATTTCTGCATGGCTTGCTCCCTCGCCTTTGTTAGGGCTTTGCCTGGATATCATCATCAGAGAGAGGCTTTTTCTATCTGTGCTCTTCAAAACTGCAACCCTCTCCCATGCGGGCATTCTCTGTTCCCCATTCTCCATGCAGGCAGGATTTTATGTATTTTCTTCCCTACTGACCCCCTGGCTCCTAGAACCATAATGGGCACGTGGCAGGTGTGCAATTACTATTGACTGCCTGAAAGAATAAATGAATGAGCCACACAGATACAACTAGGTTATTCTATTCTGCATAGATCAAGCTGTTTATCAAGTTTACCGCAGAAAGATGACAGAACTAATTTAGCATTCCTCAGAAGTAGTAACTTCCTAAAAACACCTCAAGTTTCCAAAGAATAACTGAGTCTCACACAAGTTTCATTCAACTTGAAGGGGAGTATCTGAGGGATGGCCACAAAAACCTGGAGTTTCAGTGCACAAAACTAGGCCAACTGCACAAAAGCAGAAATCCCTGTGGCCTCGTCCATCCATCCAGGTCCACTCAAAATGCAATCATTATCTCATTAATCAACTGTCATTAATTATTCACTTACTCTAAAACTAATGCATCCACAGTCAACAGAAATGCAAAAGAAATGTTGCCACTATTAGAATAGGCACATCAGGATTGAAAATTAATTTGTTAGATTTCACTTTTGTGATTTTTCAAAAGAAAAAACTTGTAGAATTCTTTACTAATGAAAAAAAAAGTCCTTATATATAGACCGGCATAGCCACATGTGAGATTTCTAATTAATTTGTTTTTAATTTAGGCTAATAAACACCAGTTGCTTATCACTGAAATGTTTAACAAGGGAAATTATGGGACATCTCATGTTCTCTAGGGACATTTAAAACGGAAGAACCATAAATCGTGTACTTTATTTGGCCTGTGAGTAGAGTTTTGAATGCAGTCTCCAAAGGCCATTCCAGCCCTCGGTTTTATGCTGTACAGGAAGGTTCACTTGAGGCAGGCAGGCTTCAACAATGCAATAGCATCCAAGTGCGTTTATTTTAAATTGTGTTCCACCAGCCATTTAGATGACATATTTCATAGCACTAACAGAAAACATTTCCCACATCTTTCAACTATCTTTATTATATCATCCAGTATTATTTGCCAAAGATTTCTCACAGTTGGAAAAGTAGTTTTAATTCTGTCATAAATTACAAATTTAAAAAGTAGCTCAGGGGCATCAGTAAATGATTATATTAAAATTAAGCAAAGATATACTAAAAAGATAAAGTCATGATGTCACCTGTAAATACTGATTCTCAGAGATGCAAATATTCTGATTTCTTGATTATTAGTATTATTAGATTCAAAGTTCACTATCTCTTACAAAGTAGAAGAGGGCGGTTTTAACCTCCTCTACTCTAATTATCTATTCTGGGTTCATTCTGATCATGTTCAAAATTATTAACAAGAACATTCTATTCTAATATGCCACTGAGAAATTAATTTAACAGTATAATTTTCACCTTAGACACATGATATAAAAAGAAAAAAACATTTTACTTAGACAATAGAATATTAGGTTGAACAAAGAGCTCTCATTATAAAAGCCTTATTTTCAGTAAATTCCATGGCAATTTAAAAGATTGAAATGAAAACCTATACTTCTAAAAGGGTTGAATATACAGAACTAAAACCGTATATGGTGGATATAAAAATAGAACCTTCTACAAAGCTGAAAATATAACTCGGTAAAACAATATATCAGGATTCAGTACACTTGTCATTAAACACAGAACCCACAATTCTTACACTTACACTACAATACTGAAAAATCGCAAAGAATCTTATTTGTATATTCAAATATAAGAAACAGATATGCATAAAAATCACACAAAAAATAGCCTGAACATATTTCACTATACCATATCTTTAAAACGGTGTATTTGAATTGAGTCTCAGATAATACACATCAAGACCTTTCAAAAAGGTTAATAAGGAACCTTTTTTCTCCCTCCTGCCTCCTTCCAGTTATGGTTACTCATTTGGTGTTAACTTGGTATAAATGAAGCTTTACTCACTTCCACCACTGGGAGGCGCAGTGAGCTAGGGAAAAGTAACTAGGCATTCCGGCTCAGCTCTGCTGTTCTCTCAGAAGCAGGCCTAACCACATAAATTATGCGTTCTCCACTGCTCCTCCACACCACACACGAGCAAGGGCCTGCCTCTGCAGGGACAGATTGTTCTGGACCCAATTTTGTCAGTAACCTATTACTACAGCGGGAACTTGGATCTATAAGGAGACCCATTTAGCCCTCACATTAAGCTACAGCCTTCGACTTGGCCATTTTCAATAATAAAACCTGGCAATAGGTCAAGTCCACTCCTAGAAACACATCCTGAGGAGCTAACCCTGAACAAGAAACATTCTTTTAAAAATGTGCAAAGATGTCCACTTCCATACTAATTACAGTAACGAAAAACTGCCAAAATCTAAGTATCCATACTGGGTATAAAATCAACTGATAAATCCACATGACAGACTTTCATGCAATCACGAAAAGGATATTCACAAAGGCTGTGCAGTAGTATGGGAAAATGCTTTTGAAGAAATGTCAGAATGAAAATGAAAGTAGAATGAAATCCAAAATTTTTACCATGGTCTACAAGTCCCTATGTACCCTGATTCCTGGCTTCCTTTCTGAAGCATTTCCACTATTCTGCAGCTATCCTTGCGTTCACTCCATTTCCTGATGAAGCCAAGCTTCCGCTCTCACTGTTTACTGACCAGCTTCTTCCTGTTTGTGTCTCTACATCAAGGCCATCTCCTCCAGGCAGATGCACTCGATCACCCCGGCTAACACACCCCACCCCATCGCTCTTTTCAAATCACCTTATTTTACGCTTTGCACTTATCACCATCTGGTATTTTTGCTTACTTATTTGCCTGTCCGCACCCAGCAGAATGTAGTTTCCACGAGAGCAAGGACGTGTCTATCTCCTTCCCTATAATATCCCAGCATTTATAGCAGTGTTTGACACATAGCAGGCGCTCAACAAATATTCATGGGAATGACATAGAGACTTAAAATAATATGATATAAATGAAAAACATAAAAATTACACAAAGGAGGAATTCTAGAAGGCAACATTAATTATGTTATAACAATTTTAATGGGAAGAAAATCATGAAAGCAGATAGGCCATGAAGCCAGGGAGGGCTTGTGTGGGGGACACAGGCAGCAACAGAGAATTAAGAAAAGTAGACTTCTGCTCTCAGTCCCACTTTAACCAGAGCAGTGCTGCTTGTTCCTTGTTTTTTGTAATAATTTGGGCTTCCATCCAAAATTTGTTAGACGAAATTGTCTTGTGGCTTTAAAATGTTTGAAAACAGTGCATTAGCACTTCATCAGTGTGAATGTACTGTTTAAGATGTGGGGACCAGGAAAGAAAAATCAAATAGTTGGGTACAAATCATATGAAAAGAACTAATTATGAAGGAGAAATTTGAAAGAAAAGGAGATTTAGGTCCAAAAAACCACACCAAACTTTCCTAAAATAAAGGTATGGTGAAGAGCTAGAAATAACTAGAAAACAAAGCTAAACAAAACATAAAACAAAAGGAACCAAAGCATATTCACACATGTAACCTATACTGAAAGCTTCACAATGTGTACAGATTGAGCCAGGTCGAGTATCCCTAATCTAAAAATCCAACATCTGAAATGCTCCAAAATTTTTAAGTGTCAACATGACAGTGAAGATGACATTGTTGACAATGCAGAAGAGGTGCCTACAGACTACACGGGTGAACTGTGCGACAGGCTTACTGAAGGACTAGAGCAGCCTGCATTCGTAACACAACAAGAAATCATGTCAGTTTATAAAATCAAAGAGAAGCTTCTAACAGAAAAGTTGTGTTAATGAGGCAGATGACCCCGGAGGAAACATTTTTAAAAGCCATCCAGCAGAACGCCTGCTCGTCCCTGGTCCCTCAACTGCTTCTGATGTTTCTTCTCATCCAAAAAATACAATACAGTGTATAGAAACCTTTTCAAAGGTTCAAAACATAGCATCATAAGCGCAGACTGAAAGCCTGTCATTTGTTGTTGCTGTTTTTTAACAGCTGATACAGGTATCCTGGTGATGCTACCGTGCTGCTTAATTAGCCTGAACACATTATTTTTTCACTGTATTAATGGTATGTCATATTCTTAATGTTAAGTACTTATGTGTGAATAAGCGTAAGAAAATGATTTATCGGTAGCGTATAAATTCAGAGTCAGGAATGACAGTAATGGCAAACAATTGCAGATTATCCACATGGGTGGCTGAGATGGTGACACTTTGGCTTTCTGATGGTTCAACAATCACAAACTTTGCTTTATGCAAAAAGTTATTATAAATATTGTATAAAATTATCTTCAGGCTATGTGTATAAGGTATATATGACACATAAATAAACTTCATCTTTTAACTTGGGTCCTATTCCCAAGATATTTCATTATAAATATTGAAATATTCCCAAATCCAAAACACTTCCGGTGCATGTCAGATAAGGGACACTCAACCTGCATTTACAAGAAAAATGTATTAGCTAAAACACAGTTTGCCATACCTGGCCAGAGTCTCCAGTACAATATTCAGTAATATCACACCCATTCACAGCATCCCGACATTCGTACCCTCGTGGTTGAAACTGCAGATTAAAATTCAATATCAGGAGTTAGTATTAACTAATATTTCAGAGTTAGCATTCTTATATTCACCACCAATCCTTATATTTATTCTCTCATAACTATCATCAAACCCTTTTTGTGAATTAGCAAGAGAGCTGTAGAATAGAAACAAGACCCAGATGCTACCCTCTGTACCCTCTGAAGATGAATCATCAACCAGGCATAAAACACTCAGGTTTCAAAATCCACTATCTCAAGAGTATTATTTCAGGAAAACAATATCACAGAAATTATGTGAAAAAGAAATTCTGATTTGGCATAAGACAGAAACTGCAGAACACTGCAATATAAACATTTAAGATCTCTCTGAAGAACTGATTTACATATATCCAACCTTCACTAATGCACCCTATATTAGCTTGGATATTAATCTTGCCTTAGCTAAATATACACAATCAAATTTCATTGAATTCATATGAATTACCTTTAGTAATGCCAGCAAATGCCTATTGTATACAAGGCATTTTGTTTGTCTGGGGAAGGAGTGAGTAAAAGATGAAGGAAAGAGTCCACTACCCTCAAGCAATTTACAATCTGTCCGGGGACATGAAGCAAGTAGAAACTAAGCTAGAATATTCCAGAATACCATAATGTATATACCCCTTGGTATTGAAAAATTAATAAAATTATATAATTTTATGGTTATAAGGAATATTAGAGGTTTTACTTATCAGAAAAAGGAAGATTAAAAATGACTTTTCAAAAATAACTAGAGGTCTCTGTAGATGAAAGGCTCTATGTGTACACACACACAAACTGTGTATGTACACGTATAAACATACATGCATATATTACTTCCCTATCTAGCTTTCCTGCCTTCACAGGGTATTTTAAAAGCTCAATGGGAAAACATGAGCACTAGCTTTTATGTTAAGGGTCTAAAATAAATTAGAGTAAGTTTTGAAGAAAAATGTTATAAGTAAGTCGTATAATTAAAAAGACAACAGGAATTGTCCCTCTTCTATTCAACAATTTAATTTGGTTTTCATCCGTTAGTAAGTAGGGCAACCCTCAACGTTTACTTTGGCAGCAGTATTTTCTTAATGAGGCATTGGAGGATAAGGCAGTTGATAGTGGATAATGGTAAAGATAAATGTTGTGACCCATAGGATTTGCATAGATTTATTGATTTTACAAAACTGCCAGGCTAATATGCACACTGTAACCAACAAATTTTGTGAAAAGCTATAAAAATGCTCAGTGTACACACTGAGATATTTGGCTAATCTCTCAATGAAAAGAAAGACAAAACTGTCAGGGAACTCACAAGACACGAGGTGTTGTTACAGCAGGGCCCGTCGCTGCAGTGAGCCCCATTGGAGAGAGAGCATTTCTTACAGCACAGCCCGTAACATTCCTAGAGAAAATACTTCATGTGAGTAAGCAAAGAACCTTTCCCGGTAATCATTCGATATTCTTTCCACACGTGACATGCATAATCCAAACGAGTAGATTTATACAACAATAAGCAAATGTTTTGGGAATTAATCACTTTAAGCAATGATAGATTCCTTCCTGCCATATTTCTCAGCAAAGTATGATCTTCTATGAAAGGCAAATAAGCAAAAAGAAAGCTTATTTTTTAGCAGACAACCTACCCCTGATTAGCTCTACTACACTCTTAATACCCAATCTAGTTTTATAAAGACAAAAATAATAGGAAATACATGGAAAGAAGGTTTCATGATTTGGCAAAACTTGTCTGAAATGAATATGAGCTATAAATTTTTAAGAGGTAGGGAATCTGATCAGAAGAATCCATTAGGTTTTCTCAGACAAGGCCATAAGGGAATGACTAATTCTAACACGTCTGAGCTGGGATTAAGCATTGATCAGTGAGATCAGAAAGAAAGGCAGTAAGACCACAGTGAATGATAGCAGGGGCCTCTCTCTAATGCTATTCTTGTCTGCTCTCGGTAAGATCTGGTGCTGCAGGTAGAGGTCTCTTATACTTACCACATGGAAGCCACAATCGCACTCCTCCCCAGCTTCTACATATCCATTGCCACATTCTGTGGGCTCAAAGAGCTGAAAGAGATTAGGGAGAGAAACGAAAAACATTTCAATTTATCACAGATAATCAGCACACTATCCAGGCCACATACATGGCCCTATGATCAGCTATCATGTGATATTCTTCTGTGATCTGTTGTTACAGCATCTTATAGATGGAGAAAATACTGTTGACTTATTAATAACACTTAAAAAAAAAAAACATTTGAAATAGGGTATATCTCTTGGTGAGATTCTCTGGGAGTGGGCTCCAGAGACACCCTCTAGCATGAGAGTTACTTTTTATGGAGATAAGCTGTCAAAAGAAATAGATCATTTTTCATATTTGCTAATGGAGCTAAGATGCATTGTTAATAAGTCCCACAAATATCCAATTTGCTGACTTGTCTCAAGGCAGCTGAGAAGCCATAAAAATTGTCAAAAAGAGAAATATGCTTCAGTAACAGCCAAATGTGATATATACAATCAAGTAAATGCAAATAAACATAGGAAAAAACACTGCTAGAAATCCAAGCCCATCATTGTCATTGAAAAGAAATCTTCACTGTCTGGAGCATATTAAGACACATGAATGGATATATAAAAATTTCTCAATCATTCCTAGACCAGTGGAACAGTCAAGTTTCTAGGATAATCCATTCTACTGGTGCCACGAACTTGCTTGCCAGATAAACCCAATTGTTGAGGTAGCTGGTTGTTCATGAGAAACATGCCTGTTTCCCATCAGCTGGGGGGCAGGGTTTCTCTGGGCATGATCACCGCACCTGAATGAAGACTGGAGCAGCACATCCCAACCCAAATGCTCAAAGCCTGAATCTGAGAGGGGGAAAGAGCCTCTATCTGCAGCAGCTGAACACACCCCAAGGAAGGGTCAGGTTTCCAGGCTACTTGGGTGGGACTCCCCTATGGAAAAGTCCAATGAGTGAAATCAACGCTCCTGACCTCTGTGATACTTAGATTGGCAGGCAGGAGAAAATGGGAAAGGGAAGGGCTGACTAGAACACAACCAGCACTTTAGACCAGGCCTCCCATTCTTCCATTCTAAAGGCTCCTCCTCTGTCCTGAGATGGGTCACTATCTCAAACCAGATGGAAAACAAACACGGCAATGGGGAAGATTCCCAAAGCACAGAAAATATGCACACAGATAATGTAAAAATAACCCATAAAACGTGCATATACATACATTCACTGACTAAAAACACTTGAGAAAAAAGTCCATTCTTTGAAATATGCATATGAACTACTCAGTGGGTTTTTTTTTTTTTTTTTTTTTTGAGACAGAGTCTCACTGTGTTGCCTGGGCTAGAGTGCCGTGGCGTCAGCCTACCTCACAGCAACCTCAAACTCCTGGGCTCAAGCAATCCTTCTGCCTCAGCCTCCCGAGTAGCTGGGACTACAGGCATGCGTTACCACGCCCGGCTAATTTTTTCTATATATTTTTAGTTGTCCAATTAATTTCTTTGTATTTTTAGTAGAGACGGGGTCTTGCTCTTCCTCAGGCTGGTTTTGAACTCCTGAGCTCAAACGATCCGCCCGCCTCAGCCTCCCACAGTGCTAGGATTACAGGCGTGAGCCACCGCGCCCGGCCTTCAGTGGGGTTTTTTAATCATTGTGATAGGTAGTTGAAAAAAAAAAATAATTCCTATTTACTAAGTTTTCAAAATGAAGACGTATAATTATTTTTATTTCATTTCCAAGTTATTTAGAATAATTTTCTTCTGACTGACGGGCAATTTCAGAAATCCACTGATGAATCTTGATGCATATGCTAGAAACCTTAACCTTTCCAAACAAGTTAGAATTGTTTTCTCAGGCATGATGCTCATAATTACCTGGTAGGCTGCAAGTTAGGTAAAATTAGCCACGCACACTGCAATCCAAAAATGCTAGCAGCTCACATTAGTTCATTATTATTAATACTTATTTCACCTATTTTAAACATTTTGAAGCTTTCAGATTTCTGCTGCAATAAGATCAATGCCATGAAAGGCAGGCAGCCGACTTTAATGACACAAGGTCACTTTAAAAGTCCTGTTTCTTTTTCCACAGCCTTACTGAGATTTTACACAGATGTCAGACATCAAACTACCATCTCCTGACTGCAGCAGTATCACTTAATTATGAGTATAGAAATAAATTATTCTGTCAGTTATCCACATTAGTCACTGATCTTTTTAAAAAAGGTTAACATGATATCACTGCTATCTCAATTTGCAGAGTATCAAACATTTTATACAGCAATGAACTATATCTAACTTACGAAGTAGTATTTTAAAAGGAAATATAAAATTTGCCATGTTAGAATTTCTATACCATCTGCTAATTAGCATCAATCCTGCCTTTTTTGGCCTGTTAAGCAACTTCATTTCCAGACATGCTACTGTAGGGCTATAGTCCTTTATCCAGAAGTTTTATAGCCAGTGAGTTCAAGAATTCTGGCTTTGCGGAATTTTGGAAATTATGATGCATTTATCATGTTCTACATCATGGTCCTAAGGGGCCTGACTACACCCTATAATCAAGTATCTTAATATTTCTGCAGTAAGACTTATGAATATTTATACTATGAGATATAAATAAAGATTTTCAGTTTAGGAAAAGCTTTACTGTCAAATGTGTTTTCTGAAAATGCATAAAAAAACACTTGAGGAAATTTTCAGAGTTTTTTGAATTAAGGATTTGTAGATAAGGGACCGTTACACTTTACACACAAATTTTGATGAAATGTCACTTGACAATATGAACTTTCCCAGGTACAGATACTATGCAATATAAACACATACAAGTATTTATGGTATCCATAAATAGCTTGGGCCATTTTTTGGCTGGCTGATATTAGTAATGCTACCTTCCCAGGAGAACAGAACACTCAAAAAAAAAAAAAAAAGTCAAGAAATTAGTTAGGCCCCTAGAAAGAATGTCAAGGAGAAATGGGATTTTTATCAGAAAAATGAGTAAAGTAGTATTTTATCTTAATCTAACTCACTGTTTCTTAGCAGCAGGGTATAAAAAATAACATGAAAATTTCAAAGAAATTAAAATAGAAGGATTATTTGCTTTTTGTAGGGGAGGCTTGAATGGATGAAGCTAGCACTGAAAAACCAGACTCAGAACACCGAATCTATGGTTTCGTCATTCATTTTAAACAGGTCTTGCCTTCAATATGATAGGGTGTTTTGTAACTAAATATTAATCCGATTGGCAAGAAACCTACTTTCCAAGACAAATATCTGATATTCAGCACTGTTCCACTGTAAAACACTGGAGACATAATTACACTTTCTAAGTTACTAACCTTTGTTGGCCTGTTGAAAAGGCAGGCTCCACCTCCTCTTTGTAAAAAGTCTCTATACTCCAAAATGCTGCACTTGGAGAATTTTCGGGAATGAGATACCCTGAGGAAACAAAGACTCAATTATGTAAATAATTTACCAAAAGCAATCATCAGAGAAGAAAATTAAAACTATTGTATTAGAACAAAATGTTCACTCTGGATCCAGATGAATCTACACAAATTTTGACAAGGCACTTATATTCAAATTGCCAAGTAATTACGTGTGGCAGAGTTTGCAAAGATAGATAATCAAAGAAAATCACAGATTTGGGAGCTAGGTTACAACCTCCTCTGTACTCAAGCCGTTTTGTGACCTAGCTTGAAACAGTTTTTGAAAAGCTCATTATAAAACCTCTTCATCTAGGCTGTATTTTAAAGTGTTTAAAGTTATTTAAAGTGTTATGATATTTATTTGCTATGTCTCAGTAAAAGAAAGAAACTTTTTATCTCTGTCCTGAATAAAAGCAGCTCATGAACTTACTAGATTTTACATTGGAGGAGAAAATTGTGAGGACCAATTTATTAAAAGCTATATAATGCAGGCTTTGACAATGCAATCACGGTAAACAAGGAAACCCTAAAGACGTGCGTTGGACCATACATGTACATCGACATAAGTTTTTAGTGTGTATACACAAAAGTAAAAACAGAATTAGGCTAAGCTCCCATGAATAATAGCTCTTTATTCTCAGTTTCAAATATTATTTGGGATTATTCATGATTTAGCAGGAATATAAAATGAGCCTCTCTGTGACGTACTTAATCAAATTAACAGCAGTATGTCAGTGCACAGGAGAATGTTACACAGTCAGGGTGAAGCTGAATCACACATACACCTATTCCCTGGTAATATTTGCAAGAGTGCGTGATTTGAGAGCGACAGGCCACTTTTTCTAGGGTACAATCCAATAGTTTTATGTATTCTGATGTATGAGGGTAGTTTATGGAAGTAGATAAAGCCTGCCACTGTTGATAGTGCCCTCCTACAAGAACTATATAGAAATGTATACTTGAGAAAATGAGTATTAACTTTAAATAGTTTTATTATATCCTGTGGATAGTCAGTCCAAGAGCTCATTTAGAAATTGGGAGTTTAGAAGACATCTTCCTGTAGAACCAATGTTAGAAATGGTGTTACCTTCCTACAGCAGTCCTCAAAAAAGCCTGATTCAGCCACACATTACTAAACTATGGAACAACAGTAAGGGGACCATGGAAGCTAAGAGTTTTGAGTTTAAACTACATTTTAGAACTGTGTTCTAAAGTAGCAGGAATAATGGCTGACTGTGCAAACCCTCATGCTCACTCTCCTCTTCTCCCCAGGAACTGAACTGCCGGGAGGGTGTGGTGGAAGAATAAGGAGGGGCTCTGTACAAGTAGGTCAGGGTCTCTAGCAACCAGGGCTCAGAGGGATCGGAGTAGGACCAGAAATGGCTGGTGTGTTGGGCAGGTTTCTGGCATGGGCAAAGGAAGCAGGAGAGATACTGGGTGAGGAAGCCTCTCCTATTACAAGAAGTGGGCGATAACTTAGGGGGCCTGAAGGCAGTGGCTTCCACGGGGCAGGGGTCCCTGGGAAAGAGGGCAATGTTTGTAGACCTGGTTCACTGAGGCAATGGCAGCTCTGGGGCAGCTATTCTAGTTCCCAAAGTATACACAAAAGAAAAGACAGGTGATGGAATGTTCAACTGTCTACCACTAAAAGATACCTAATTTAGACACAATAAATCTGTCTTAATTTTTTAAAAAAGCTTTATTGATCAAATAAGCGGTATAGCATGATTTTTATTACCGTAAACATAGATATTTATGAGTTCCTTAAAATGTAAATTGATGACTAAATTGATTTTCACTGACTGCTTCAGGTAGACAACCAGCTTTTATTCTAAGTGTACTAAAAAATTAATGCCTCTACTAAACTTAGACACATCTAACGATGTGCTTCCTTTAAGGGTTAATAAGAAGTAGAAGTAGTTAATACGTTTTACTTTTATCACCAACCTTAAATAAAAAATTGAAATATGCAGTAAATTAGCCTTTTCAGTTTTAAAATATCAGACAATTAATTACTGAATTTATACTGTAATTACCTTAAAAGACTGGTACCTACTAGACCGTGGTCTCTAATTACACACAGCAATTTTAGCAAAAGGCATTTATCAAATCCATGTAGGATAAAAATTTACCCTGTTTCCTCCATGATGCAGCCACCCCAGGATTCTGTGCAGTCACATTCTAGTCCAATGAAACAATAAAAGCAACAGAAGAAAAAGGAAACAACAAAAGTCACATCTTTAATCTGCATTACAGCTCCTACAATAATTCTTTATTACCAATTCCATGTCAAATAGACACGGAGCGTGAAGTCCGTAGAACAAAATTTATTTCTTTTAAATGAGTATTTCCTTATCCTTTCCAGAAGTACAGGTCACTTGCTAAAAAAAACAGCTGGCTAGAAATAAAATTGTGCCTCTCCTCATTTTTGTAACTCCTACAACTAAAGTAAGCTCCCAGTTCCGATGTTTAGTGAAAAGCACCCTGGTCTAGCAACTGGAAAGCCTGAGTTGAGTCCAAGTTCTACCATAAGAGAGAGTCCCACAGGCTAGTGACTTATCACCTCTTGGGTCTCAGGTTTCCACTTCTAAAATGGAACTGCATCTCTCTGCCTGCCTATCTCCCAGAGTGGCTCTGGGGTTCATGGGAGATGGTATGCCTGTGTGCTCTCTGTGAACTGCAAAGTTCTCTGATACACAAACACAACGAATCATCATTGAAATTTGCTAACAGAGTGTGCTATAAGTTAAAGATGAGAATTCAATTTCTCAGAGTAGAAGTGAGAATCAGCCAGAGACTTGAAGATCACTATGCTAAAATGTTTAATAAAAGAGAACAATCTGAAACAGAAGTGTACATAATCGCTCAAATAGCAATCATAAACTTAACTTAGATACCAGAGACTGACACACTGATACTGAGATGAGCTCTTCTCTTCATTAGTTTTTTCCTATTCTCTTTTCTATCATAAATATATTTTTAAAGAAAGACTTCCAAATGGATTTTTAAAACAAACTTTAGAACCCATGTGATAGCTACCTAAACAAACACTTCACAAAGGAATAAAGAATTTTAGGAGGGAAGGAACTATTGCAGGCATTAGGCACAGATTCTATTTCTCACCCTACTCCACCATCCAACTCAATAACATCTCTCAGCTGACTCTATCACCAGTCTCTTTTAGGTTCCAGGATGTCCAAAACAAGTACATACACCTAGTCATACTCTATGCCAGCTGTCAAAACTCTAAACACCTCTTTTAATGTGTACTGGGTGTTTCCTTGGGAAAGCAAATACTTTGAGCAAGTTAATAAATGAAAGTTTGTGGGGATTTGCGAAATGCCACCAGACATTTATGACTATGTTACTCGATGACTTAATATATCCATCAAGGGAATCAAGAAGCCTGTGGATATACATTTTGTTTCAATTTTCCATAATATTACACATTAGTGACAAAAAAAAGTATAAAATGTAGGATGATATTAAGGTAAACTTGGTCCTTGTCTTCTTTAGTGAGGTTGGGGTAGAAAGAGAGACCTTTATTCCTAGCGCCTCATATTTTCACAGAGGGAAGGGGACTTCCACTTAATTTCTAGTTAAGTGAATAATATGAGTGAACACACATTGGTCTCTTTTGCCACAGGATCACATGTTTCTGGACCTTAGGCACTAAACTATAAAAATTTACTAAAAATGTATATTTTACTACTATCTTGGTACAAAGAGGAATATAATCCAGGTTTGATTTTAGTCTGATTTTAAAAGCAATTAAATTTTTCATGGACCCTTGAAATTGCTGTGGGCCCTAGACACTTTGCCCACTAGATAAATCAGCCCTGTTTTTCTATCTACCTCTCATCCGATTAATGAAAAAAGTGACAACCAACAGTCTTTGGCCATGTTTTTTACTAGATGGGATCTGTGGCCCTGTTTGTACTCCCTCTAGGACCTGCCTGCCCACTAGAGGAGAATCTTATCCTCCACCACTTGTCCCAAGCTTAAAAGGCCCTGGGGGAGGGACTTCCTGTAGGGGAGCCTTCTTCTCCAACTCTTCTCATGGGACTGGGTGGGTATGTTTAATTAGAACTTAAATATGGACTCCTTTTTGACTCTAGATGGAAGCTATTTCCCAAGGCAACTGTAATATTACTAATCTTGTGATGGAGCCTCATCTAGCATCTTGTGTCTATACTCAACTGTTAGAACCCAAGAGGGTGACTATTCCCACCCCCAATCCCAACATTCCTGAGTGTGCGAAAGCTGACTCACGCCCTGACAAACCGGGTATGATTTTATGAATTTTGAAAGGGGAAATTTCTACAACCCAAAGAGATTAAGAACTATCTCAAGTTGCTCATTTTGTAAAGTTTTTTAGAGGAAGGAGATATACTACAATTAAACTATAATGATTTGAATGAAAAATATTTATTTATTGACTGGACATGCATTATACAGACAGAATGGCACATGAAAGTGAGAAAGAAGGTCAATGTACATACTTGGCTTTCTGCTAGAAGGTTCCCATTGGATTCCAAGGTTTTGAGCCAGGCTCTGCGATAATACTTGTGCCACTGCCATTGGAAGACCATACTGTTTTTCAGAGTTGAAAGTGTGTGGGAAACATTTGAGAGAGTGCACAAAGCTAGTTATTATTTCTTAATTGTTACCACATATCATCTCAGTTCCCTAAGTAGAGCCTCACAGCATCTAAAGATGGAATATACTCCTCATCACTTCCTCTTTGCAACTGGGCCCAAGAAGCAGAAAGCCCCTCTTACTATGTGGCATCTCTCAGAACTTGAAGCTCTCACATGGAAACATAAAATACAAGTCACAAAAGGCTGTGCTCCAATTTAACTCACACCAAGCCAAGAATAAATTCAACTTACTACAAATAAGTCAAGTGAGGTTCCCCACTAAATGATGGTTATTGGGATAAACTAGTATAATATATTCCAGGGTTGACCAGGGTTTAGATATAATTCATTAGGCTTTGGGATGCTGTTGCCACCTAATAATTTCCTTTATAAAAATGAAGGTATTAAAACTTAAACAATGAGATTAAGGAAATATTTGTTCAAATTCATTCTACAGATAGGTAGATAGAAGGCATAAAGATGAAAAATATACAGAGGGAGAAAAAGAGAAGATACAGTAATGATATTATAAGCCCTTTATTTAAATGAGTTAAATCTAATAAGGGCAGAAGAGCATTATAACTAAAAAAAAAGTTATAAGGGAAGGATTAATAAGCTTATAAAAACTTAACATCTTATCTACAAAGCCTAAAAATCTCTAGGCCAATCTTCAGCTTGCATTTGCCTGATAAATATGAAAAGCTATCATTATAATAACCAAAGATAGCATTATGAATCCAAAGGACCATTTTGGGTTCTATTCATTAATAATATAAGCCACTCATGCTACATAATCGATGTCATCATTCTAAACACGCATGAGAAGAAATGTAAACTGGTCCATGGGGAAGAAAGAGAACAGATGCCAAGATAAAGCTCTATTTTAAGAAAATGATAAAATTTACCTCATTCACACCAACTCCTCTTGTGCGAGAACAGACACCTCCAAAGTAACTCAGACTGCTTCTCTTATAGTGGAATGTCACCCGCCTTCAGAAAAAGAAGTGCTATTAGAAAACCAATGTAGTGACCATCAAATAAACTCTCCCAAAACATGTCAACTCTCCTACACTGAACATTCCAGCACCATCGTCCTCCAAGAAATCAAAAACTGTATTTTAAATACCTTTAAATTTATGTTGTCATAATTACCTTTAAATTTATGTTATGTTAAATAATTTCAGTTGAGCAAGCATTAACTGAGTACCTAGTAAGTATCATGTGCTGGCGCAGGAATTGAAAACACAGAGATAAACAGACCACAGTCCTTGACTTTTTTCTAGTAGAGAATATCTAGTAGTTATACAAAATATTGTTGATTATTATAAATTGCTGATTGAAGACTGAAAGAAAAGAAAGTAAAGGTTAAAGCGGAAGGAAAGGAAGGGCTGGGTTGGTTCGATTTCAGGACAGAACCTTGGAAGACTGTCTGAAAAGAGTTTTGCCATGAGTGGGTAAAGAACAGCTTATTATATTAAAAAGAAGGTATGGAACCTTTCTTCCTTAGTGATAGAAACTCAATTTTATTCAATGGTTCATCTAAAAAAAACTACATTTCCTAGCTTCTCCTGCAGCTAAATATGGCCATGTGACTATGATCTACCAAATGACACGCTGGTGAAATTGATGTGTGCAAGCTTTCAGGAAATCTGCTTTACAGGAATTGACTTGGGTAAAAGGAGTGCCCTTTTGCCCTTCTCCCTGCCTGTCATTCCCGTTGCCTGTGATGAAGGCTGGAGCACCACTGGCCTTCCTGGATCATGAGTTGACCTTGAGGATGGAAGTTACATGTTCTAAAGGTAGATCTGATAGCTACAGAATCACCAGCATCCTAGCACTGGGCATCCTATCTCTATGCTTCTTATGTAACAGACAGGGCAATCCACAGCAATCTTGTTCAAGTCACTATTTTCTGATACTTAACTTAGCTTAACACAATAAAGGGATAATGATAAATGTCAAAGCAAAGACTACAATAAAAGCTTAGACAGGTACATACGAGATGAGGTGCACAGCATCAGCGTGCTGCTTGATACGCTGCCGGTATCTGGAGAATTCATGGAGCATCTGCACAGGATTGGTGGTGATGTCAATATGATCCTTCTCAGTCCAGGTCTCGACAGCCACCAGGACAACCCTGGTGTTGAGCTGCTCCTTGTAAATCTGAGGGTATACAACAGGACAGGTGCAGGAGGAAAACACTGGGTCAAACATGCACGATCAGTGAGTCAGAGTCAGTGGAAGGACAGGAAGGGGAAGGTGAGAGGAGAACATGGGTCATAATTAGCTCATCATAGAGAATCTTCTCTTCCTTTCTCTTTTCCAAGAGCAGAAAGAAAGAAAGAAAGAACAATCACAATTCTGTCTCATATCACCAACTCTGCTATAAGGTTATTTCAATCCCACATCAACACATTTAGTGACCTGGCATCTCACTTAGGGATAGACAGTAGGAATGTTAAGATTCTAAAGTCAGGACATAAATTGAAAACAGGGTTCAGTAAAATCAGCCTTCCAGACCTCCCAGAGGGTAAGAGGTTGGAGCCTGCTATACTGGCTGTGAGTAAGTAACCACTTATTCCTGCAGCACTGGAACAGGTCACTACATCTCAGACAAGCACCAAACAATCTGGCTGGTTTGCCATCAGAGGTCAAGTTATCCTATAATATATGGAAAGTAAAATAACACTGAGAGAGAGAGAGAATCATGGATCCAAGGCCAAAAAAGAGCAGGTTTATAATCTCCCAGCCCCATCCTAGCCACAGGGCGGCATCACTCACAATATTTAAATTGTTGCCTTTCTGTAGTCTTTCTCTACTTTCCGCCCAGTAGCTAAATAATTCACACAATTAAGCAACTTCAATGAATGCTGTCATTTTGTCCTATTTTCAAACTACTTAAGAAAACAATGGATAATTTTCGAACACACTGAAGAGGGAGGACATCATTATGCCCAAATCAAATCGAAGCTCTAATTACTTCACAACAAAAGCAAGTTAAGTGTAATGTCTTTTAAAATTACTGGTCAGCTCCAGAACTTTATATGGTAACCCAAAATAAAATTTACACTTTGCAAGATGTGATTCTATTTAAACATCCTGAAATGACTAATACAGACATGCTACCAAGAAAACAACTTTTGCAGGGGAAAGATGTGTTGAAGATTCTCTTTTCCATATTCACTTATAATTTTCCTCTGAGAAAATTGGTAAGAGCTGAAATTAAAGAAAATGAATAAACCAGGTATGAAAACTGGCTCTCAGAGGTTCAATCCTAATTCTATATAATAAAATCTATGCATATCTACTTATATTATCTTTTTGCTAAGCTGGGCCTACCAGGCACATAACATATATTATGAGTATTTACATGATCACTGGTTTTTGGACTGTTTCAAAGGTAGAAAAGAAGGCATCCCTTTGGGGTAAATAAATATCATTTAGGTGTTTGGCAATTTATAGAATGCTTTTTTCCCAGTTAAGATAAAATATATAATGAATACCACATAAAACTCTATTTAGCTGAACAAAACATCACTTTACACTAGAATACATAAAGTAGCATGCTATATTTAATTTATGACTAGTCAAATTGTATTATTTATTGCAACATAATGCATAATATTGATATCTATGGAGTTCCTATCTAAGGCCTGAAAAAGGATGAAAATCTTAACCATCATTCTCTGTAACTTACAAAATGTTGGGGGGGGTAACATATTGATATTAAAGATTTGGAGATTTAGAAGTCTTTCTAAGGAGATATATATTTTATTGTTTCAAATTAGTTTTAATTTGGGACTGACTTATACATTACTTAATTTTTTCATCTAGAAATAAGTCTGAAACATTCCACTAATGGAAAAACTAAGGATATAAATTTGTGTTTTTTTAAACAATTTTTTTGTATTACTTATATTCTCCAAACATACTCTGCCTCAATCTATTAGTTTTTCTCTGCTAAAACCACACATTTTTAAAAAGATCAACTCGTTGTTAACAAAGTCCCATTTGCCAAGTATAATGTCTACTCTTTTTGGTAGCTAACGTTCTCCATTATTTTTGTCCTCCCTAGACCCTGGTGATGATAAGGTCTAGACATCACTTAGAAGCAACATTAATGCATCTTTGGGATTCTAAGGATAAGTCAACAGTCCTCTAAAACTGAGAGCACTACTCTTTGTAAAGCAGATCACCCTATAATTTCTTAGCTAGATGAGCTTAAGGATCACATTTTTACTTTTGCCCAAGATATAATTAAAGTAACAAGTAAGCAAATAGAGATCAAGATATAAACCATTCCATCTTGGTATAAATAGGTTCAAGAAAACAAGGATACTTACAGAATCCACAAGGTTGACCACAGACTTTGCAAAGTTGTTGGTATGTGCATGAGAAGAGCGATGCTTCTTATACTGGGGGGATAAAAAGATATACCAGTCACTGTCAAATCATAATTTAATGGTAAATTTCAAAATTCTGTAAAAGCAGAAGTCTCACAGCAATAGTAGATATGAAGATTAAAAGTACGGAATTTAGTAGAATTTAGTTTGTGCCATACTGGAAATGGTGGTGTTCTTATCTTATTTCTTTGTTAGGCAGCAAAATTCAAACTGTCTAAAACACCCACAATGTTCTGGGTAATGGAAAGGGCCTATAGAAATCTATGTGAGAAGCTGTACACTGAGAAGTAAGTTTTTAATTTAGTCATGTTATTGAGCCCACTATGCATCATAATCTGACACAAACCATCTTTATGTGTCCTTTTAAAGTAAACTAATACATGCATATAACTGGATCATAAACCATTGTGTTAATCTTAAATTCTTCACGCATTTTAACAGGTTTTATAATCTTAGCATAAAGAAGTTTCTACAAATAGCTCAGCATTTTAAGTTGCCTAGCAAAATTCCACAAGCCCAAAACTTTTGAAGCTATCTTTAAGAGTAAAAGCAAAAGCCTTAATATTAAGTTCCTTTGGGGTGATGAAAATGTTATGGAATTCGACAGAGGTAATAGCTGTACAACATTGTGAAGGTACTAACAACCACTGAATTGTAGACTTAAAAAGAAAGGAATATTAGCTGATACCAACTCTAATGCAGCGGTGTTACACATCTACTAAGATAAATTTTATTTTGCTTCTGAATATTAATTTGTCCTTTTTTGGAGACTTCTTTTTATAGTATAATGAGCACAGAAAACATGACATGCAAGTTTAAAAAAATAAAATAAAGCCTTTTTAAAATCTATCAAAATGTTATGTGTTTCATTTATTTCTTATTTGTAATTTTCAAGCCTCTGACTTACTTTGTAGAAGGATGATTCTGCCTACTGTGTGGTGAGCGAATTAGAGAGAGTCAAGAATGGAAGCAGAGATGTTTATCGGGAAACTATTGCAGAAGTCCAGGTAAGAGGTAATGGAGACTGGATAACTGTAGGGAAAAATGGGTGGATTCAAGAAATACAGAGGTAGAGCTCTGAGACTTGCTGACGTAGAGGATGTGGAAGGTGAGGAAAGAGAAGAATAAAAGATGACTCCTTGGTTTTGACCTTGAATAGATGGGGGATGGCGATGCCATTTAAAATAATGAGAAATACTATGGGAAGAGAAGTTTAGAACTAAGAGTTCTGATTTAGAAATGCCCAATGTGAGATGCCTATGAAGTAGAGATGTCAAGCAGACAGCTGGATATACAAATATGGAACTCAGAAGGCTAGAGCTACAAAGCAGGGAGTAATGAATTTACAGTCAAGGTACTACTTAAAGACTTGAGACTGGAAGCTGTCACTTAGGGAGAGAGTATAGAAAGAAAAGAGAGCCCTGACCCAAGCCACAGGGCACTCCCATTAATTCTAGAGGTCAGACGTAAAAAAACTTACATGAAATGGCCAGTGAGGTTAAAGAGCTATTATGTCACAGAAGCCGAGAGATAAAGAAAATATTTTAAAAAGAGAGTAATCAACTGTGTCCAATGTTGTTAAAAGAGTAAGATAAGGACAGAACAGTGATCACTAGATTTAACTTGAAGTGCCATTTCATTGAGCACCTAGGATATACTAGGAATTAAGACAAATGTCTCTCCTACAGCAAATATTTGCTCCTCATAACTCCATGATGTGGGTTTTATCATCTCCAAATAACTTATCCAAGATGACACAGCTGGAATTGAAAGCCTGTTCTGGGTTGAGAGAGGAGATAAATTTGTTCAGTTAACAATTCTTATTAAACAGTTTATGTATATTCCTAACAAATCATGATTATTGATGAGAACTCATAATTTGTTAGGTGTATATAAAAATGTAGTGGTTTTTATTAATGAGGTACCATCTCACCCCAGTTAGGATGGCTATTAACAAAAACACAAAAAATAACAAGTGCCTGGGAGGATACAGAGCAAAGGGAACTCTTCCATGCTGTTGGTGGGAATATAAACTAGCACACACACTATGGAAGAACAGTAAGTTTCCTCAAAAAGCCACAAATAGAACTACCATATGATCCAGCAATCCTATTACTGGGCATTTATCCAAAGGAAAGGAAATCAATATATTGAGGAGACATCTGCACCCCCATGTTTGCTTCGGCACTATTCATAATAGCCAAAATATGAAATCCACCTAGGTGTACAATAACAGATGAAGAGATAAAGAAAATGTGGTATACTCACACACACACACACACACACACACACACACAATGGTATGTTTGTTATTCGACCATAAAAAAGAATGAAATCCTGTTTTTTGTGGCAACATGGATGGAAATGGAGGTGTTGCTCTATGAATTAATATAAACATGTCTGCAAACATGTTTATATTCCATGAATTAATATAAACGTGTTTGCAGACATGTTTATATTAATTCATAGAGCAACAGGAGGACGTTATATTAAGTGAAATAAGTCATGAACAGGAAGTTAAATGCCACATGTTCTCACTCATATGTAGAACTAAAAAAAAAAGGTGACTTTGCAGAAGCAAAAAGTATAATAGGGGATACTAGAGACTAGGAAGAGGAGGGAGAAGGAATGATTTGTTAAAGGATGCAAAATTACAGCTAGATAGGAGGAATAAGTTCTAGTGTTCTATGGCACTGTAGAATGACTGTAGTTAACAATAATGTATAGTTTCAAATAGAAGGACATTGAATGTTCACAATATAAAGAAATGATAATTGTTTGAGAGGATGGATATTACCCTGATCTGATGATCACTATACATTATATGTATTGCAACATCTTTATGTACCCCATGAATACGTACACTTATTATGTGTCCATTAAAAATTTTTAAAGTGATGGTTTTTAAGTAAGGAAAAACAAATGAGGTTTAAATTGAAAAACTTCAAATTATAATCCCATATTTACTCTTATTGACTCATACTTAATGTAGCAAAAATGTAAGCAAAACATTTGTTTTTCATGTACTTTAAAATATCTCAACCAATTTTCTATTAGAATAAGGTTTTTAATGTTTATATTTGGCTTATGCAGCTCAAAGAAATGTTTACAGACTCTTATTAAGGATATAATTGGCTTGCAAATTAGGTTCTCCCAGCCAGGTACTAAAAGCTTTCCACCAAATTGAGGGATTTTTCTTTTCTAATTGAAAGCCACTGATAATGTGATGCCTATTCAAAATAAGATATCCGCATTTGTTCAGGCAGCCAGTAATAGGCTACTCTGAATTAAAGGGGTAAGCTTGAATGCAAATGTAGGCAGAATGCTTCCATTTACTGCATGAATGAGAACTAATTTTGTATATAAAGAAAAATATGCAATCTCCATTTATGATAAAACTTACTTTTACCTTTTCCGATCACTAAAAAGAATTTACATTTAAACTGGAAAACTTGCTTTTCCTTCCTGAACAAATGCAATCCTTAAGAAATTTGCCTTTCGAAAAAAATTAAGATTAGAATTTGATTATCAACCTGAAGGTGACAGTTATCAGAGTAACTATGGTGAATCATATATTTAATAGTATAAAGATTGTAAGATGATTACTCTCAGTGGGACAATTATTCCAAAGCCAAGAGCAAATCTCCAAATATTAAAAAATAAATGTATTAATTATTCTAGTTCAGTCTGACTTTCAACACATGAATTTAAGTACTTTGATCCAAGTTCTGGTTTACTATTTTTTTGTGGCAATCATATTCAAAAACTTATTTTCACATCATATAAAGCATACCTCAAAAAAGGAATTTTCTCAACTCTCAAAAGAAAAAAAATTCTTATAGAATGACATACGTATTTGGGAATATTATAGACTAGAATGTAACCTGGTCTTTAAGCAAAAGGAATACGAAGGCTGTCTGGAAAGTATCCAGCCACGTAACCATTCTCGTTGTATTAACAATGGCTGGATACTTTCCAGATAGCCCTCGTATATTTAGTTCTATTAGCCCAGAAATAATATTACTTTAAATAGTAGAAATCTTCTTAGATAATTTCTTTCTATTTGAGACATGATTTCTACCCAACAATAAAAGCTTTCAATTTTTTTTCCTTTCTTAACATGTATTCCCTCCAAATTTATCAGTACAAATTATAATTCTTTTCTTCTGGTTTCAGAAACAGATGAACATATCATGCCTACTTCTCATCCATTTTAATAATAATAATAAAATTATCAAGATTTATCATTAAAAGATTTGATAGCCTGAATAAGGTAACTTTATCACAAAACATATGGTATAATGTATAGAAATTTTCCATATATAAAATAATACTTTAAGAAGGGTGCTATTTTATTATTCATAAGATTATTTAAAAGGCTTAAAAATAAATTCAAAATATATGATGTTTAAAATATTATCAAGTTTCCTATTTTGCACAGTTACTGAGATCTGCTCTCTGACTGATAGCTTCATGTTCCTTCCTGATACAGTATGATGGAACAAGAGATTTAGAATTGCAAATAATGGTTTGAAAACTGATTCTATCAATTACCAGCCATTTGGGAATGCACTTTGTACACTTAAAGATATTGTCTATATATCTTAATTATTATTTCCATTACTATAAAAGTATTTGTATAATGGATGTTGGGAAAAGGTTAGGCTTCAAAAGCCATAATTTTGCAACACGCCACAACGCTTGGGATTGAAAAGTAGCTTGAAAACATTTCAATTTTCCGATCAACAAATATAATTCAGATGAAAAATCATACTGGGGTTTTAAGCAAATTAATGTCCTTCAGAAACTCATATTTTAGCCTTCATTGTCTAAAATGATTGCATACACATTTGGTTTTTCTTCCCACCAGAAGGGAACTCTCCTAAATTATAGGTAATTCTGATAAATTCTGGTTCTTACTAATATATCTCAAACAATGCATTTAAAGGGTACTGGTACAGAAAACAAAATCTTCATACAAAGTAAGAAGTGTTCTATTGACAAACTTTATATTCAACATAATTGAACTGATAATTACTCAAAAACATCCATTAATGTAGAAACTCAAAAGTTTAAATATAAATCAAGTCACCATTTTTTGAAATGTATAGTTTCAAGGCCTTCTCTGAGTAGAATTTCTGCTGATTAGAATTTCACATAGTCATTTTAGCATGAAACACAGCCTTATCCATGTAGTCTACTAATCTAATTTTGATTTCATTAAAGTAAAACAAGGACTTTAAAGATACTTGCAAGGCAATCTCAATTTTTTTCCCAATCTTTTACAAGTTTGTCACCCATACCTGACTTTTAAGTATGTTTTAAGAGATTCTCATCTTTATAAAGTTTTTCCAGAAATGTAACTTCATTTTCATTAAAAACAATTACTCCTTGTCTTGTTGTATGCAGTTTTTAAAATTCAATTACATACAATAAAAATAACAACTGGCCTAAATAGTCCAAGGAGTGTGGTAGGGGTTGCTGGCACCAGCTCCCACCAGCTCACAAGAGCCAACTGGCCACATTCTCTCCCTGCTCTTTCAGTGATCTCACTTTGATAGCTTGAAATCAGCTATGGTGGGAGTATTTACACCACAGATATCAGCAAAAATTATAAACCAAGAGAGCTAGATGTTAAAATTTACCAGCACACCACGAGTATTGGTTGTACTAGCATATAACCCGCTGAACGAGATTCTTGTAGGCTTCAGCCAAGATATTTTACAAAGAAAATGGTTAAGTAGAGTATAGTTAACAGAGTTTCTACTTTATCTTCAAGAAAGGCCAATGGGGAGCAATGATTGCTTTTCATATTTCTTTTAAGTGTTACTGAAATGACATATTCAATCACATTTTACTTCCATAGAAGTAACATAAGATTATTCATCTTTCTAATATTTAAAGAAGATAAATAATCAGTTAAAGATGGTCTCTTTAAATAAATTGTTATATATTTATTTCCTAT